GAATTATGACATGAATCAATATCAGGAGGATACATATCAGAAAACATATTGGTGGAGGTCCCAATTCAATGTTGCCTTCTTAACCCCTCCAAAAAAAACATCAACTCTGTACTCTGAAGAGACCAAAGCTGCAGGTCCCATGGGGCCCTTTAACAGTCATAAATAATATCATGTGACTCCATCATTAATCCAGTCAGCTTCTATCAATCAGTCAGAACCAAACCAAGACTCTCCACTAAGCCACAGCGATGCAACCAAAAAACAAATAAAAAAAAATGTAAATCCTGCTTTTGCAATAAGCAGTCACATTGCACAAGGAGCGCTCAAGTTGGAGCAATGTTTCTGCACCCTCTGTCCCTCTACCAGGATGTTACTGACCTTAAAGGCAAACTTGCGGGTGACGTTATCAGAAGGCTCAACTCCTCCAATTTGGAAACTGAGCAGAGGCAAACTTCCTAACACCGTGTCCTCCTTCTCATCTGTGAAGAGGAAGAAAGAAAGTGTGAAATACCATACATACCAGGAAGAATCAGAGAATCTGAATAACAATCCAGTGCTGTGTGAGGAAAATAACAACCTGAACCTGCAGAATAAAACACAGCAAAACAGAAGAGGAGTGTTCAAACACAACAGTGGAACAAGAGCAGCGCTCCTCCCAGCACAGTCTCTGCTCCCACGGTGACAGCTTCCTAGCATAGATATCCATTATGCTCCGAGGGTCCCTGTGATCAGCAGGGTAATGGCTCACACAGTCACTCACTCACACACACAGACCAGGATCCAGTGGTGATAAATAAATAATAATAAATTAATAATGGAAGGGGGCATGAGCATTTCAGGAGTTTGAAAAGGGATACACTCCTCTCTCTCTGAGCTCTTACCTCTTATTTCCCGAGCACGGCTCTGCACCGACACTGCGTCTGCCGCTGACTGAGTGTGTTTGTGTGTCTGCGTGTGTGTGTTAAGCGGGGAAGTGAAGGAGAGAGATGGCGTTGGAAAGTAAAGAACAACAAAATAAAACTTTTCTGTCAGTGTCCCGGGAACATTTTGTACCACAACTTCTGATTTCAGAGTCACTCTCTCAGCAGTACACCTGCTTTGATGGACATGACACTGGACTTCTCCTGCAGTGAAATCCTATCTTCTCCGGTCCTTTCCTACCTCCGCCTTCCATTTTCTCTCTCTCTCCATATCATATACCT